TAGATGGATCTTGAGCATTAGGCAAGCCACTTCATGGCTTGGGAGACCAGATTAGATGGCATGATCTGAGAACAGGTGCCTGCCTTTGCCTTAGTGTTCATCCTTATAGTAATGGTCTTATACAATATGTATCCTTTTGTGATTGACTGCCTTTGCTCAGCATAATCATTTCTAGGTGCATCCGTGTTGAGATGTTTCACTACTGTTTTTAGGAATGCAAAGTATTCCACTGTGTGTATGTACCAGAGTCTCTGTATCCATTCTTCTACTGATGGGCATTTGGACTGTGACCAGCTTCTTGCCGTTGTGAGCAGTGCTGTGATAGACATGAGAGAGCATGCATCTGTTTGAGCTGCCTTCACTTCTTTTGGACATATACCCAGCAGAGGGTTTCAGGGGGTTCGGGTCTTTCTATCCCCAGTCCTTTTAGGTCTCGCCATGTCACTTTGCACATGGCTGTACATGTTTACAAACCCAACAGCAGTATATAAAAGTTCCAATCTCTCCACACCCTCTCCAGCATTTGTTGTTTACTGGTTTGTTTAAAAATCTGGGCTCTCCTTGTAGGTGTAAGGTGTTATCTCATCATTGTTTTGATTTGCATCTCCCAGTGTCTAGTGATAGTGAGTATTTGTGTGTTGTTAGCCATTTTTAGTGTCATTTTTGGTAAACAGTTCATGCCTTTTGCCCACTTTTTAATTGGATTATTTGGGGTTTTCTTTTGAGGTATGATAGAATTCTACACATTTTAGTAAGTAGTCCTTTATCCATTGTGTCATTGCTAAAGGTTTTTTGCCCAGTCCTTGGGCTCTCTCGTTTACTATTTTGATGACATCTTTGGATACACATACATTTCTTATTTTTAATAGTCATCTATTTTATTTTCTACTGAGTGTACTTCCTTTATCATATTTGTAACATGTGTTTGCCCTACAGCAAGGTCCTCAACTTTGTCCCTATTGTCTTATTGGTGATCATTATAGCTGTGGGATTTACATTTAGGTCTCACCCATCTTGGGTTCATTTTTGTGCATGGGGCAAGGTATGGTCCTGTTTCATTTTTATGCAAATGGAGATCCAATTTTTCCAGCACCATTTGTTAAAAGGCTATCTCTTACCCATTTAAAGTTTTGGGGTTCCTTGTTGAAAATCAGTTGACTGTAGGTGGATGCATTTATTTCTGGGATTTCTATTCCATCAGTCTCTATCTCTCACTGTACCAGTACCAAGCTGTTTGATGGCTGTGGCTGTGTGATAGGTTTTGAAGTCAGGTAGGGCAAGGGCTCCTATGTTGTTGTTCTTCTTGAGAAGTTCTTTGTTTATCCCTCTCAAAATGAATTTGGTAATTACTTCTTTGTCATTTCTTGATGAATAAAGTTGAGATTTGGATTGGAATTGTATTTAAAAATTACTGTGGGCAGTTTGACAATTTGACAATTTTGTCTTCCTATCCATAAATACTGGGTATTCTTCCATTTACGTAGAGCTCTTTTGGCTTCTTATAGTACTGTTCTGTAGTTTTCTTTATGCAGGTATTTTATTTCTTTGGTTTATTCCCAAGTATTTCATCTTTTGTCTTTTTCAGAGCTCTCTTCGCTGTGTACAAGAATCTAATTGATTTCTGCTTGTTAATTCTGCACGGTGCTGAATCTCTCAATTTTTTCTAATATGGAGTCTTTGGGATTTTGTACATGTAAATCAATGGCCAATAGAGAGAATTTCACTTATTCTTTCTCCAGTTGTATTCCCTTGATTTCTTTTTGTTGTCTGCTGGTTCTGGCTAAGATTACCAGCATGATATTGAATAATCAATAGTGATAGTGGGATGTGGTCTGGTCCCTGTTCACAGGGGAAATGTTTTCAGTTTTTCCCTTTTGAGTTGGATGTTGGCTGTTGGTATGTATAGATGGCCTTTATTATGCTGAGGAATCTCCCTTCTATTCCTCTTTTGTTGAGTGATTGTATCAGAAATCTGTGTTGGATATTGTCAAATGCCTTTTCTGCATCTGTTGATTTGATTATAGTCTTTGTTTTGTTTAATTGGTAGATTATATTATTTTTGTAGTAATAGACCATCCTTGCATCCCTTGTATGAATTTCACAGGGTGAAGATGAATCATTTTATGATATGTGTTATGCTATATTGATGGATGACATTCGCCAGGTATTTGTTGAGAAGTTTTGCATCTATGTTCAAGAGGGTTGTTGGTCTGGAGCGGTGGTTCTCAACCTTCCTAATGCCGCGACCCTTTAACACAGTTCCTCATGTTGTGGTGACCCCCAACCATAGCATTATTTCCGTTGCTACTTCATCACTGTAATTTTGTTACTGTTATGAATTGGTTGACCCTTGTGAAAGGGTCATTCGACCCCTAAAGGGTTCGCTCCCCAGAGGTTGAGAACCGCTGGTCTAAAGTTTCCAGTCTTTGTGGGGTCTCTGACTGGTTTTGGTATCAGGGTTATGCCTGCTTCATCGAATGAGTTTGGGAATTTGTTGTCTCTTTCTGTATTCTGGAATAGTCTGTGTAGCATTGGTGACAACTCTTCACTCAGTACTTGGTAGAATTCCCCTGTGAAGCCATCTGGTGCTGGACCTGTCTTGGTTGGGAGTTTCTTGTTGACTTTCTCTATTTCTTCTTTTGTTTTTCTGTCTTTTCGTATGAAGCCAAAGGCTCAAGTCACACATAAATTCATTTCCAGAGCTGCCGTCAAGTTTAATATACATATTGTTTGGTCGTTGGTAGAATTCCACCCTGTTTCTGAATGAAATATTGTAAACTATCAGGTTTTTAAATATTTTATAAAGGCTGTTTACAGAAACACATTTTTCTTTAAAAAAATGTAATATCCTTTAAAAGTTAAAAAGCAAAAGAGGTCTTGGAGGTGGACACCAAAGTGTAGTATGGTTAGGGGCCAGCTTCCAAGGCCTGTGAGTGGCAATGGCTGGGAGCTACGCAGAGAGTACAGCACAAAGGAAAGTAAGTATGAATCAAGTGCTGGCTCCTCAACATCTATCCAGGGAGCACTACCAAAATACGCTATCACTACCAAAATAAGCACTTTCTGTGAGAACTAAAAAACTACTTGCAAGTTCATTTCTTTTCTGGATAGATTTTTGGATAATTTCTTTGATCAGAGGAAATTATTTTTCCCCACATTTGACTAAAACACCTTTTATCCAACACCAGACCTACAAAATACTGGTGACTTTATATGACCTCCATTAACCACAAATACAAGAGCCTGATCCAAAATCCATAAAACAGAGAAGGCCAAATCTGGAAATGGCATATTAACACCATTCATTTTCTTCCTGGGTCCCCTCTTGTTCTAAATATATCGTGACAGAGTTCCAGTTTGAATAAGTGGCCTTCCAATGACATTCTTGCTATGGCTTCTGCCCCTACTTCAGATGTTAACTGAGTCTGAAATACCTGTTTTACCCCTAGCTAAGAGTGTCTGTCATCTTATACATATTTGGCAGGTTGTGAACAATTTGATACTGTAAATATATGTGGCAGAAATTGTTCTCAAGGCAGGGTAGGCCCTACGTACCCCTTGTAGTCACACACAAATTCTATCTCACAGGTGGGAACACTGTCATTTCCAGTGCAATTTGCAGGTTGCCATAGGGACCATCACTAAAGCACCAATAGACTTGAGGTTGATGGCACACTCCCATCTCAGAATGTGAGATGTTTTTCCCCAGGTAGCCATGTAATGCCTCTCATCTTCTCTCAGAACTTTGCCCATGATGTCACTGTCTCAGAGGGGAGCCTCCTTAGCCCTCTCCCCTTAGTACCTCCATTTGACCCTTCGTGATATTTTTGTGTTGTTTTGTTTTCCTCTGAAGGAGTAATCATTGCTGTTTATGCACGTGTTTCCTATTTCTCAATTTGAGCTCTAAGGTGGGAAGGGTATATTTTGGTCACTACATATCGTGAGTATAAAATACATATTAATGGAAGGAATATATGACTTTAACAGCAAGATTGATGATTAAACAGATAGGTCATATTCTGGTCGAGTTACCAGGCAGTGGGTAAGACCTGCCCTGGTGCTCCTAGCTTAAATTGTGCCAGTTTGGGAATTGTGTTCATCTTTTAATTCCACTGGTCCTGAGACTCTTTACCTTATTCCTAAAACTTCATTTAAGTCTCGGGAAATAGAAACTGTTTATAACAGGTCTATGAAGTGCAAGAGTTCTGTATGTACACACATGACATCCACGCACAGTGACAGAGACAAATCCAGAGGAGAGGGAACCTACATCCTCAATGGACCCTGACCCTGCAGAGGCTTCGCGTCACGCCCACGACACTGAGCATTGAAAGAAAGAGCTAAAGCACCGATAGACAATCTCGGTGATTCTCAGAAATGTGTCGCATTTTTCACTCTCACCGGTAGATACATGATGACCATGTTGCTCTCCAACTAAGATACCAGTTATTTATTCCAACCGTTTTCAGTGAAACATTCACAGCCATAAGCACTGAAAGAGCTGCTGTCCTAAAGGTGATTCAGTTAGGCACTGGTGTACAAAGACCATGCTGTGACACTGAGAGGCCTGCTTTTCTGGTCTTTATTAATCCAGAAACTTAATGAACAACATTTGTGTTATTGTCTACCCAAATTTAATTTATTTATGCAGCAGTTCAGTTAATCCTGCAATCTGGTTTTCTCAAATGAGGGCAGATAATAGAGACATCGTTCTTTACAAGTCTTCAGGCTTTTAAATTCTGATAACATCAGGAATCTTTGCTGGGTCTTGCTCCAGCTCTGAATTAAACCACTTTAAATGCAATTATGGAACCTGGCCTTACATCAGGAACATCCATTTTTTAAAATTGATTGGCCCGACTGTTATAGGAGGGATTTTATGAGCAAACGATTGCAATGGGGCCAGAACTGTAATTTATAAAGGCAAAAAACAAAGTAAATACTTTATTAGCGATAATGAGAGACTTGCCAGATAACTGAATCTCCTTTCTCTTCACTAGCTACTTCACAGAGCCGTGGTGCATGGCCCTCTTCCATGATCGCTTTATTGATCTCAGGAAGGAGCTGCGCCAAATCATAACCTCCAAGGAGGTAAGAGTGATTGATGGATATGTAGACTCGTCCTTCAAAGTTAAAAAGAGCTTAGATTTGTTGATTGTTTTCACTTGTCATACAGCCTCACCTTACGGTTTTACAACTGTACTTCATGTAAGCAAATTATTAAAGATATAAATATAGGTGGGGCTATTTAGGAATGGTGGTGGTTATGTAAATCCTTTTATATGGGGTCAAAATTTATTACCTTTTTATAAGTGGTCGCATTTTTTATTTTCAACTAACAGTGAAGGTTAAAATCTGAGTTGCATTTGCTTGCCCCTTAGAATAAAAATTGCATTCTTGTAGTTTATGTCTGTATTTACCAGTAACATTTGTGTGTACTTGGAAGATGTAAAGAATAGTCATTCAGATGTCAGAACACATTCCTTTTATAATGGAAACTTCTTTCTCAATATCATTCATTCAAGATTAACTGAAAGTTCATCTACACGTCCCAGAGATTCTATGCTCAGCAGGAAAAAAAGTTCATTCTGCAATGAAAATGCAAAATATTTGTGAAACTTAAAATTTAAATTCTTCCATTTCCACTGGAGTCTGTACCAGTGGTGCCCTAGGGGAGTGCAAAGGGTGCAAACCATACTGAGTGACACTATCTATAAAATGTGCGTGTTTCAGCAGAAATGTGTTATTTTATAGAAATATTCCTATTGTTTGCTATAATAACAAAACATTTTCATAACCTGTGCTGGTTAAGGTTTTGTGTCAACTTGCTGGGCCAGGATTCTCAGTGGCTTGGCAGTTCAGGCCTCCTAATCCACCCTGAAGGCAGGTCCTTGGGAGAGTGGCATACTTCCGATATAAGTGCAAGCTGTGTGAAAGCTTTCTTGCTTTCCCTTGGAACGGGATCCTGTGTTGACCTTCAGTTCTTTGAACTTCAGTCAACTGCCTGCTGTAATGCCTGCCAGTCCTAGGAGTTATTATCACCCTGCCGTTTTCTCTTCTGCCCTTGGACTCATTCGCCTCTGCAGCCAGAAGCTGGTCTTCTAACCTGGGAATCTCGGAGTCATCATCCCCTGCAGCCATGAGTCAGGAGATGCCTACAATCTGACATCTGACCCAAAGAGTTCTATAACTGATAGCTTCAATATTTGTTCCATTTATCATATTGCTTATTGATCCAGTTGTGCGCATTTTTGTTTTGTTTTTGTTGGGGGGTAATCCTTACTGAAGGCTGTACTCTCTGATCTTTATCAGTAAGTGCCTCAAATCCTCTTTGATTTCCACAAGTGAAGTGGTGTCATCTGCGTGTCAAAGTTTGTTGAGGAGCCTTACTCAACAGGTAGTGCTGCATTCTTGCTCATAGTCCAGCTTCTTGAGTTATTAGCACATCATACACACTGTATCTGTGTGGTTAAAAGATACAACCCTGACATGTCTTGTGTGATTTTAAACTATGCAGTACCCCTTGTTCTAGTCTAATTACTGCCTTACGTCTTATATATAGGTTCCACTACACATAATTAAGGGTTCTGGAGTTCCCATTCTTTGCGATGGTATCCATCATTTGTTATGATCCAAAGAGCCTTTATATAGTCAAGAACACGCTCGTAAACATCTTTATGGTATTCCCTGCTTTCAGCCAAGATCCAATTGATGCTAGTAGAAAATCAATATCCCACATCCTTTTCTGAACTTCTGGCAGTCCTTGTTTATACACTGCTGCAATCTTTTTAAAGTGGTGTTTTAACATAATTTTATTTGCATGTGATATTAGTTACATTGTTTGATAATTTCTGCATTGTTTCATCCCCTTTCTTTGGAATGGGTGCAAATACGGGTCTCATTCAGGCTGTTTGCCAGATAGCTA